ATTTTGAAACAAAAAAAAATTCTTCAATTTTCAAAATGCATTTTTTCAACCATTGGGACGGACGAACACAAATTTTGCCCCTTTGCCACCTTTAGTATCGCCGAAACTTAAAGACGCTATGCAATCCGGAATATCTCTTTTGTTGCTTCGTTAGCTATTTGTTTCGCGGGAAAAAATCCCCGTTCGTCCTATTAGGACAATTTGTTCGTCCGTCCTAAAAAATTTGTCCGTCCGTTTGTCCTAATTTGAAATGGGACATTAGGAAAAATGTCCGTTTGTCCTTTTTGGCAATGGGACATTAGGACAAGATGTCCGTTTGTCCTAATTTGAAATGGGACATTAGGACAAATGTCCGTTTGTCCCAAATCAATAAAAGGACGGACGGACACGAAATGTTCGTCCTCTGTCCGTCCGTTTGCCACCTCTAGGCGATACCAACAACAAACAACAAATAACAGCAGAGACAACTATGTAAAACGATTTTCTAACGAGACAAGCATCTGAAGGGTGACCCAATAGGGATGATAGTTTTTCCAATAGGGATTGCTCGGCAACTGTCAAACATTTTAATGACTTATAGCTGTCAAAATATTCAGTATACTTTGCCATTTCATCATGCATCGTTTCACGCTTCCCGATCGTTTAGAAATTATTAAAAAATACTATCGAAATTCCGGTTCAGTTGTGGCTGTTGTACGTGAATTTAGTCATGAGCTTGGTCGACATCACCACTTCAATGACCAGGTTGTTCGTCGCACTGTGGCCAAATTTGAACGTGAGTTTACTTTATTGGACCTTAAGCCACCGACCAGAGCAAGGACAGGTCGAAGTGAAGAAAACATAGCCGCCGTAGCGGCCAGTCTTGAAGAGAGCCGTGAAACGTCGGTTCGACGTCGTTCGGCTGCTTTGGGCCTCTCCAGAGAGACAACACGGCGCATTTTGCGATTGGATTTGGGCCAGCACCCTTACAAAATGGTGATGACTCAAGAAATCAAGCCAGAGGACCACCAACAGCGGCGTGACTTCGCTAATTGGGCGAAGTTCTGGAAGAGAAGTTTGGTGAGTGGATTATTTCACTCAATGGTTTTGTCGATTGGCCGCCGCGCTCATGCGATTTGACACCTCTCGACTTCTTTCTTTGGGGGTACGTCAAGTCATTGGTCTATGCCAACAAGCCAGTCACTTTAGAAGCCCTCGAAGCCAATATCCGTGACGCCATTGCTGGAATAACGCCACAAATCCAGGATCGGTTCATCAAAAATTGGACCGAGCGCATGATGAGCTGCAAGCGAAGTCTGGGTGGGCATTTGAATGATGTCATGTTCCATACATAATGGCATAAATGTAGCTTCAAAATGAAGCCAAAATCAATTTGATATCTCAAGCCGTTTTTGTTTTATTTAATTTTTTTTCCTATCAATCTTATTGGGTCACCCTTTATGCTTGAACTCTTTTCCTGTCAAACTTGATACAGTGTAGGCTTCCCATTCTCACTTTCTAAGCGGGAAGTTCCCGATTTTATGTTATAGGTTTGGCTGATGTTTTCAAATTCAGATTCATTGGAACTCTGTTTTAAGCCAAATTTTAACTAATTTCCTTTATATTTGCAATTTTTCGATTCTTCCCGATTTTCTTACTTTATTTTCGAAAAAAACACAATTCCAACCACAAGACATATCGTCTCCATCTCTGACGTCTCCATCTCTGTGAAGAAGTATCATTATTATTGTAATTATCACTATTATTACTTACTATCAGTAGAGGATGCTGCTTTTGGTTGTGCTGACGCAGGTCGTTGATTCTGCGCTAAACGAGCTGAATTTTCCTTTATGGAGGATGAATCGATTGTATTTTGGCGCTTGAAGTTACTGCTTCTGCGATTAATATATACAAAAAAATCGATTTATTCGGCTGAACCCTCAAAGTTGAAGGGAGGAATTGACTTGATGAAGTTTCCAAATCAATTCTCTTGTGGATGGTTCACATAGTGCGTTGCTCTGTTGTATTTGTACTTACAAAGTTGAGCGATCTGATCCACCGGTAGATGCGTTTGCATTCCCACCATTATTTCCAGAGGCATTTTGATTATTGGAACCTTAAATAATCAAAAGATTGAGTATGCATTTTGACGAATTGAATATGAAAACACAAAAGAGTACAATCGTTTCATAAAGTAGCATATATAACCCAGTGCCGGTATTCTACGATGCAGTATGTAGAGTTCATTCGGAATTATTCCAAACGATCAATTGCGTTTTAAAACTAGGGAACACAACGTTCAAATATTCTCCAACCAAAAAATGATCGATTTTGTAAAAATCTAGTAAAGCAGCTGCCAATAGACCAGTCATTAATTCTCGGACGGCCAAGAGATTTGGGTGAATAAACAGTCAAGTAGGGTCACCAATGACCCCAAATTGTTTTAAAAAAATGAAATAAATCATTAAATCGTATTGTTTTTCGTTTATTCAACATTTATGAACGTTTTTTAAGAGAATAGAACTGAACAGAAGTTTTTTTTCAACATTTTTCCGGATTTTTTTGTGGATATTTTTGGGTTTTTCTAAAGTTGAAGGGAGGTCTTGTCTCCAAATCAATTCTCTTGTGGATGGTTTTTTTTGCAATACACATTAGAATGTTTTTTTTTTGAAATAAAACGATAAAAAATCGTTGATATTTCAGTGAAACCAATTTCTTTCGGGTGTATTGAGAATTGTTAGAACATAAAATATCGACTAAAATATAATTTGAGTTCTTTTCTTCAGTCTCAGATTTTTATATACATACGATGCGGTAGAATCCCATACAAAGGGAAATGGTCGTTCTGAGAGCATTTTTGAATGCAAATCCATGGTTGATAGCTTTTTGGAACCACATTGAGATCTACTGGACGTTAAAAGAACGCCAATTGTGCAACAAAAATTTCATTGATTTGTAGAGTAGATGGCCAGTAGATGGCGCTCAAAAAAGAAATTTGTTTTCAATCGATTTTTACAAATATAACGGTATATCCCGTGCCTAACTTGTTGCTTTTGACATGCCCTCCAACTTTCCAGAAGATATCAAATCGATAATATCGATTCGATATCTATAATAATTTCCCTATTTCAGGGTTTCTTCCAATATTGGCGTATAACTTAGAAATTATTAAGTAGTAACTAAAAAGTAACTGGAAAGGCCAACATTTTCCAACGGCCATATCTTGGCCAAATGCCGACCGATTTTGATGTTTTACACAAAAAATGACATCTACTTTTCAAGACCTTTCCAGTGATATATATAACTTTTTAATCTGATGGCCCGTTCAGGAAGCCGATTTTGGCCGTCATTCTTCAATAGCCAAAAAATGGACATAGGCCGGCCAAATATTGTCTACAAAATCTTTCATTCGGTCAGAATTTCAATGGGCTTTCACATTAAGAACTAAAGAAGATTTAAACTGAGTGTTCTGTCAAATTTGCGCACCAATACATCCAATTTCATGTCCATCCATGCTATTCTTTGTTTATATGTATAGAAACTTCTATTAAACGTTCAACATCTATGCTGACTGACATTTGTTTACGCTAATCAAGCGAAAAACAAACACGCACAAACACACACCAACAAGCGCATGACGATTGAACATTATTTCTGTTCTTATTCGTTTGCAGGCGATTGCTACATTCATATAGCAGCGTGTGAATGAAATGCAAACAGTCAACGTGCCGTTCTCTCCACTTATCGTAGCGGCACAAACATCTACTGTATTAAGACTCATAATAAAGCAAGCGTTTGACTGTATGCGAGAACAAAGCTGAAGGGGCGATGAAGGCTCTAACGCACGAAATAGTAACTTTGACAAATGATTTATATTGGTAATGGTGCGTTAAAAGTGACAGAACAGAAATCAGCATCTCAGTTTAAATGTACTTTGGGTAGAATAAGACGAAAAAACATGGAAACAACAACGATGTGCCTTCGCACCAGTTGTCGGCTAGAAAGTGTACTACAAACACAACATAAGAGTAAAAAAAACTTTTCATACAGTGTTTGTAGTACAGTTGCTAGTACCAGCTGGCGTTTTGGTGCCATTTATGTACATGATATATGGGAACTGTCAAAAGAAGGCGTTGCGTTGGGAAATAATGCGTTTTTCAGGGTGCCTCAAACTTTTGGCTGGTGGTGTAAATCGGCAAAAAATGTCAATAAACTGGTTATACAAAATTCATATATGAACGCGTGAGAATAAAAGACTGACGCTAGCAGGTTTTTCGCAAAAGCGGGATAACAATCGGGTGCACGCAAAAGAGACATTTCATCGTGTTGCTACAAACAAAGAAACACCACAGTGTTTACAAATATTCGATTCGTGAGTCGCATTTACATGGTAATGTTTTTGGAACTAAATGAAATGTCTCTTTTCCGTGCGACGGACTCGATGTGCGTATTTTCAAAACACAGTCGTCGAAAAAGAGATGCAATTATGATAAATTGAACATGTTTATTTTAATAAGAACAACAGAGCCGCTCGCTTCGTTTCTGTTGAAAATCATTGCACACAAACCCAATCACGAGCACGATTGAACATGTTTCGCTTTACAAGCGATTATGAATGAACTTAGTGTTGAGTGAGTACCTTACAATATTGAGTGTGCTATATTTGTATACAATATTAATACATTGGCGACACTTCTTCTCAATACGTTCATTCATAATCGCTCATAAGACGGGCGTGTAAACGTGCATATGCCTGTTTATGTGTGCAACATTTATTGCGCGTAAATTTTCAAGAAGAACGAAGCGAGCGGTTCTGTTGTTCGTAACACAACAGCTTGTGATACGAGTAAAAATTGCACATAAGTGTGAACGAAACAGCATAAGTTTCCGGCGCTCGATTGTCTTCCATATTGGCCAATGCAATTGAATATAATATTATTAAATATTTACGCATGGAAATATCTCGAATACGGCTGGATAAATCGGCAAAACGGACCGTGATGTCACTCCCAAAGGGAGTGCAAACACCCGGCTGGTTTGATGGCCTAGAATACAAATCCGGTGAAATTTCAGCTGATCCATGGATCCTCAGGATTCGACCAGGTTCCAGTGCTTCCTTTTTTATGTGCATCTGTAAAGTCATATTCCCTATGTTGTTGTTGTATTGTATGGAATTTTACCACAACGCAAAGAAATTGAAGTGCTGAAACCTGGCCAAATCCTGAGAATCCATGGACAACCAAATTCGACCGGATTTGTATTCTAGGCTATCAAACCATCTGGGTGTTAACACTCCCTTGTGTTTGTGTGCATATCATATTGTTCATTTTTAGGTAACAGAAAGAAGTAAAAAAGTATTCATTGAAATATGTAAGTATTCTTTGAACAAAAAATTTGGCTTGGCAAACAAAACATAAAATATGAAAGCAATTGATTGGATTAGTCAGCTCTGTTGCGACGAATGTGTGACGACTGTGTTTTGAAAATACGCACATCGAGTCCGTCGCACGGAAAAGAGACATTTCATTTAGTTCCGAAAACAAACAGCCGTAGCAATCGATTACCATGTAAATGCGACTCACGAATCGAATATTTGTAAACATTGTGGTGTTTCTTTGTTTGTAGCAACACGATGAAATGTCTCTTTTGCGTGCACCCGATCGTTATCCCGCTTTTGCGAAAAACCTGCTAGCGTCAGTCTTTTATTCTCACGCGTTCATATGAGTGTTACTGAAAATACTGAAAATGAGTGATGGTCCGCGGTCGGTCATGATTTTCGCGATGCTGATAAGAGACAGAGGTTTAGTGTCTTTGTAAAGTTCTAGTACTCGAGGTCTTCTATAATTTGGCACATATTGAGCACTCGGCACATACTTTGATGATGCTCATGAAAATGGGTGATACTTTATCCGACGACTGTACAATATTATCATTACTTACTTGAATTGTTATTATTATTGTTTGAAACAGAACTGCCACTATTTGCAGATGAAGAATTCAATGTGGAATTATTTGCATTGTTTGTTGCTCCAGTTGTAGCCTATAAAGTTCATATATTGAGTTTAAGAGACTATTACATGATCACACAAGCGTTACCTTTGAGGTGACTGGATTCGTTCCAGTGTTATTTCCAGGGGGCTGTTGTTGAGCAGCTCCAGTAGATGATGAATTCGTGCCGCTATTGTTGCTACTATTGGCACCACTCCCAATAGCTGTTGGACCAACACCTGTTATGAAACGTTGAAAGATTTCTGCATTTTTTAAAATTAATCTCGATTTGTATGTTGCATTTAAAAATTATTTTTATTTTTATTTTTAATTATATTCTACGTATAATAAATTTATGAAAATAATTTCGAATGATATATATTATCATCTCATCAGTCAGTAGAAACTATAATACTACTAAATAAATAAGTTCAATGAAGCGCATACTGATCGAACATGCATTTTCATACGTTCCAAGGCATTTCATCTCATTCTTCACGGAACTGATAAGAGATAATGGCTTGGTATCCCTGGTTAAGTTGTAATATTCGAGTTCGCCTACAAATTTGCTGGGGCAGAAGATATCGCTTATCTCTTATCAGTTACGAAAAATACGTAGAAAACCTAAAAAAAGCCGCAAATAAACTGATAGGAGATAAGCGATATTTGGCTTTAGCAAAATTGTAAGACAGGTTGTGTATTGTAATTATTTCAATGAAACATTTCATTATATATTTTTATCAGTTACGCGGAAAATCGCGAAAACCGCGAATTTTCTTTTATCATTTTTTCACGAAACTGATAAGAGATAAGGAGATGGTATTTTCATAAAAATTGTAGTACTTCACCTGATCTACAACTGAAGACAGATATCACTCATCTCTTATCAGTTTCGAGTGTAGACGGATCGTCATTATTATTATAATTGTGCGACCCACCTACTCATTATTTCTCCAACGGTGTCACATGCTCACCGCATCTCACGTTGCGCATGCGACACCCGCTATATGCAATTATGAAATGAGAAGACAAAATAGAATAAAGTTTGATGCTGACACAATAATATCGAGTTTACTTATTCTCAATATATTTATATCCATCCCACTACACGAGAAGGGGAACTTTCGCGTTTTTCGCTTATTAATTAATTTCAAATTTTATGATGACCATCATAGAAATATATTGTTTATTTTTTTTGGATAAACTACTTCTCGAACCAAACTGAAATAAATTATAACTATAGAAGTAAAGTAATAAGTAACTTATTACTTATTACTTTCATTTTATTACTGTAATAAGATGGATTTATTACTTATTACTCATCTTATTACAAGTAATAAGATGCGTAATAAGTAATAAGTCCATCTTATTACAGTAATAAGATTGTAATTGTAATAAGATTGTAATAAGTATCTTATTACTTTTGGTGCAAAAAAAAATCGGAAAAATAGTTTCATGTAAAAAAGTCAGTCGAAAAAATTGACATGTTTTTTGTATGAAACTTTTCTTCAAAAGTTTCATACAAAAATCATGTCAAATTTTGTAAGACACATTTTTTTCAACATTTTTTCGACTGACAAAAATTGACATGTTTTTTACATGAAACATTTTTTGCGATTTTTTTTTTGCACCAAAAGTAATAAGATACTTATTACAATCTTATTACAATTACAATCTTATTACTGTAATAAGATGATCTTATTACTTATTACAATCTTATTACAATCATCTTATTACAATCTTATTACAATCTTATTACTGTAATAAGATAGACTTATTACTTATTACGCATCTTATTACTTGTAATAAGATAGACTTATTGCTTATTACTCATCTTATTACAAGTAATAAGATGCGTAATAAGTAATAGGTCATCTTATTAAAGTAATAAGTAGGTAATAAAGTAATAAGAATTACATTTTTTTACTTCTATAATTATAACCAGCTGTTGTTATTAACTCAGTAACAGTAAACAAAAACGTTTTCATTTTGTATACATTTTGGACGAAATCGATTTGTTCATAAATTTTGAATCATAATGGCCAATTGTTTTCTCTTTGGAACGGATTCCTTCGTGACTTAATTTTTAACTTTAGGGCCGCCCAGTGGTCGAAATTCGACCATTTGGGAACTGGATGCCGACCCGAAAGGCGTTTTTCAAGCAAAAAAAGCGGAAAAACCATCCATTTCTGAGATATGAACGAAAAAAATCGAAAATGGTTGTGCCCATAGAAAGTTGGTATTAAAATTTTTTAAAAATTAAGACAAATTTAAAAATGCCTTTTTAAAACCAACTTTCTGTGGGCACAACCATTTTCGATTTTTTTTTATTCATATCTCAGAAATGGATGTTTTTTTCGCTTGAAAAACGCCCTTCGGGTCGGTGCCTCGGGTCTCCGTGGAATCCGGACCCGTAGCAGGGTGTTTGCTAACATGCTTCAAACTCATGTCAAACTTGACATATGTGAATTCTGAATGACATTCTGCACATCTACTCATCAAGGCCTTTCAAATGGTACCAGTGGCATCAAAATGAGTTGGGTATAAAATGGTTAAAATGGTACCAAAACTTTTTGGGCTAGCGCATTAACATATAGATGATAAATGACGTGATATTCTTCTGCTAATATAGTTTACTAAGCGAAGTGGAAAAGATTTCACCGTGTAACAAATTTCAACTTTTTCTTCTGCACATGAGAAATTCCGATTGCTTGTTTTAGAGGACCAAAAACCAAGCACTTTTGCATCATTAGTTTGTTCGAAACCACATCTAGATTTTTTTTTTATCGACACATATAAGACAAATTTCAGGTCAAAATGAGCAAATCACAAACATGAGCTTCGATTTGATAGGTAAAGGCAAATGATTTCTACCTTTTCTGCCTTTGAACATCTAGTATGATCCTTTACAAACATTTTGGGCACTTAAAGACCAAATCGACTGATGTTTTCACATATTTCTGGCCGCATATTTGGTTGGTTTGATTTCAACTCTAAAAGAATCGACTTTTGCCAAAAAATCCTTAAATATAGGCTTTTCAGGGATAGTATCTTAGCGCAAAATTATTTTTTCTCGAAAATCTAGCCAGACAAAAACTCTCAAAATTGACTTTTCGAGGTACCTCCCGAACAAAGTTACGTTTTTCATGCATTTTGCTATGAAAATATCATTTTTTGTTCGGAAGGTACCCCAAAAATAAACTATTTGGATGAGTTTCTTAGTAAAAAATTAATTTTTTCGAGAAATATTGGGAATCTTCTCACACAGAATCTCTTATAAATAATTTTTGAGGTACCTCTCGAACAAAAAATGATATTTTCATAGCAAAATGCATGAACAACTTAACTTTTGTTCGGGAGGTACCTCGGAAAGTCAATTTTGAGAGTTTTTGTCTGGGTAGACTCCCCATATTTTCGAGAAAAAATAATTTTGCGCTAAGATACTATCCCTGAGAAGCCTATGTTTAAGGATTTTTTGGCAAAAGTCGATTCTTTTAGAGTTGAAATCGAACCAACCAAATATGCGGCCAGAAATATGTGAAAAAATCAGTCGATTTGGTCTTTAAGTGCCCAAAATGTTTGTAAAGGATCATACTAGATGTTCAAAGGCAGAAAAGGTAGAAATCATTTGCCTTTACCTATCAAATCGAAGCTCATGTTTGTGATTTGCTCATTTTGACCTGAAATTTGTCTAAATATATGTGTCGATAAAAAAAAAATCTAGACGTGGTTTCGAACAAACTAATGATGCAAAAGTGCTTGGTTTTTGGTCCTCTAAAACAAGCAATCGGAATTTCTCATGTGCAGAAACATGCGTTGCGCGGTGTTTTCATTGCTTCATTTTAAAAAAATGAAATGATCCATTTCGAACACAAAAAATAAATTGGGTAAATCATAATATGAAGTGAAAATTGAAAACCCCTCAAATTAGAAATGAACCCTGGAAATTCGCTTTTTCCCATATAAATGCTCAAACCTAAAATTCATTTCTAATTTCTGAGGTTTTCTAATTCTAGGGTTAATAATTTGCGAAGGTAATAATAAGTAATTTCGGTAATTCGTATTAATAAGTGAAAGAAATTAAAGTTCACTTCTAATTTTGAATAAATATTTTTGTAAAAATTTATGCTGCTTTAAATATTTTGATCATAGTTGATCAAGGTCTGAAATTAAGGATATTTTTGGTATGGGTAATGAAAGTTTTCCCAAATTTGTAAAGGGGTAATGGAAATTTGGTCGATTTTGTAAAGGTCTATATTTAGAGATGGAAGAAGAGCACAAATTTTCTCTCTCTCAAATTTTAAAAGGGTAATGGCGAAATGCAATGATTTTGCTTCTAGGAAATCGGATTTCTGGAACAAATTCATTGAGGGTAATGGAAATTTAGTTGTTTAGAATTCATTTTGAATTTCAATATTATGAATGAGTTTTTTTTAGATGAAATTTTGATGATTTTCCGGAAAAAAATCCAAAATAATGCATAAATCTATGAGTTTTTTCCAAAAATTAGTTTGCCTCGTTTCCTTTCAAGCATTCTCTAAATAAATTCTTAAATTAACAAATATTGAAATCTTTTACGAAATTGTAGAGAGGTTATTGTCATTTTCGATGACTCTTATCAAAGCAGTTTTCTTTTTGAAAGAATATGTATGTTTAAAAAAAACAATAAGTTTATCACAAAACTAATCCTTAAAAAACCTGAAAGATACTTACGTAAGGTTTCAGCACCACTCGAGGCCCGACGACTTGGTTTCGTACTAGAAGCAGAAATGCTTCGATGAACACCTCGATGAGTTGGACTTTGTACTGATGATGTACCTCCACCACCACTGCCTGCCGCTGTGTCATTTCCAGCGATATTTCGAAGTGAAAGTGATGAACCTGATCGAGATCCATCAGATTCAGGCTAGAAATAGGGGAAAAATTGAGTTATTTAAAAAATATTACTTTTCCGCAGGACCCGTGGTCCTAAAGGTAAAAGTATTGCGATTGGACCAAATTTTAACACACATGATTTCTATCCGTTTTCAAGGCCGTGGAACACGGAAGAACTGTTTTTAAAGCGATGTTTTGTTGGTCTGTCCCACGTCGTACGTCGTACGCAATTTTTCTAGTGAAATTTGTTAACACGATTTCTCGAACCAAGTCAAAGATAAATAAAATCTGGAAGTGCCAAAACTTTAAGCTCCACTAGACTTAGAAACCATTCGATTTTCAGCCACCCCAGATATACCCCTGGGATACTAGAGGTACCTGATATAAGTGATATTTTTCCCATTTTTGTCCCGACTGTTTGAGCTATGAGGTGGAGGTATTCATTTCCCTTTTTTTATGTGTTCGGGACCTTAAGAGCATGGTTTATAACAATTCACCATGTGTGTTTGACGTTCCAATAAAAAATTATAGCCGCTTAAAAATAAGTGATATTTTCCCCATATTATTGAAATTTGTTCACACGATTGCTCAAACACCATCCCAGATAAATTAAATCTGGAAGCGGCAAAAGTTCAGGCTCTTCCAACTTGGGAACCATTAGATTTTTAGCCCCCCATATATACCCCTGGGGTACCCTATGTATGAACCTCAAAAAATCAAACTTTGTATGGGAGGTACCTAAAATAGGCTACTTGGTGGGCTTTTATCATTCCTAACCGATAAATTTCATCAAAACAATTGGGAGCCTAAAAACAATCAAACAAAATGATTGATATAATGTTTTTCTTTAACCTCAGCGAGGGAATTTTATCCTAGCCACGTGGCATTAGACCACAGCGGTCTAATGCCATGTGACGAAATTGCCAGCCACCTCATCTCCACCTCTGTGGGCACATAATAATAGAATATTCAGACTCCACTGCGGAAAAGTTCGTCTTACATCGTAATACCCTTTATTATTACAGAGATGACTGAAGCGCACCGAGTGACCGAGCAACGGCCGCACGG